GATAGATAGATAGATAGATAGATAGATAGATAGATAGATAGATAGATAGATAGATAGATAGATAGATAAATGGATGGATAGATGGATGGATGGATGGATGGATGGATGGATGGATGGATGGATGGATAGATGGATGGATGGATGGATGGATAAATTGCTCATCTCCTCCTAGCTATGCTAAAGAGCAATGATTGTCTCTTTGGTTGTCTCATAGTTGACAGGGAGCTGTGGCTCACTGCTGCCTCCCTCCATCATGAGATAGAATTGAATCACATTTTTAGCCTCAGAAAAGGTCGAAGTTAGATGTCGATGAAATGAGTTTTCTTCCAACCATCCTATCAAATGTCATGGATTGTACAGAATACAACTCATAGTTTCAAATTGGTGACATCACTTTCTATAGTCATTTAATAACCAGTCCGCTTACACAGCATTGATACTCCAGCAAACCTCTTGCCTCATGCTTCATTGGTGAGAGACACTTTCCCTACCAGTGATGATCATATATAAATGATCATTTCCCTTCCTTTTTCCCTCTCTCTGTCATTCTGTGTTCTGTCCTGAGTGATCCTCAATGCTCTTCCAGTACATGAGACACTCCTATGCTTTAATCTGTTTGAATTTTTCTGTCTGTGGAGTGCTTTTTAATTTTAGTGACCATGTGGCTTATTTTCAAGACACTAAATCAATTTCTAGCTTTTGTTCTTTTAGCTTTCTGTCACATTTATCTTTTTTTTTATTGTTTATATTAGTGGCTTTTCTTTTTCTTTTCTCTCTTTTGAGATGGGATTCCATTATGTAGCCCTGACTGACCTGGAATTTTCTATGCAATCCAGCCTGATCTCAGACTTACGGTGATCCTCTTGACTCTGCCTCTCCAGTGCTAGGATTATAGACATGTGTTACCATGCCTGACGCACATGTATGCTGATCATATACTTTGTTTATTAGCATGCATGTGTACGTGTGTGTATGCATAGTACCTGAACGTGTGAAGATCAGAGAACAACTTTTAGGACTTGATTCTCTTCTTCCACCACATGAGTCCAGGGGATTCAACCCATCTATTCAGGTTGATGACAAGTGTCTTTCCCGTCTGAGCTATCTTGCTGGCGCATACATTGTTTTTGTAAGAAGCAATTATTTCTTCATATTTTGGAAGAATGTCCTTATTTCAAAATAAATATGGGCCTGGTCTGCAGGAATTCATATTCTTGTTTTGACAGTTTTCACAACTTGCACTTCACATGATACTTCTTTTAATACATCTGAGCCTCAGCATTTGGATTTCTCTGGGACTGGAGGGTTGTTTTGATCTGCATGGAATGCTCATGACTTCCAGTTATAGTGATTTAAATTAGAGCAAGAACTGAAAGCATTTGTGAAACATTTTGAGGACAGAATCTCAGGGTTTGGGGACAGTTAATATATTTTTATTTATCATTTACAAAGTTTAGTACAGTGTGTCTCAACTTCAGCACTTTTAGCATAGAAGATAATTCACTGTTGTTAAGAGCTATTGGTTTCTTTTCTAGTACTTAGTAGCTTTTTTTTGGGGGGGGGTCTCTGTCAAGTAGCTTCCAGCTCCCATTGTAACAACCCACAGTGCCCTGCTATTGTTCAGTGCTCCTAATAACGTTTGGAGAACACACTCAGCTTTGGTCAGCACACCTTCAGTAGTGATACTGAAGGACTACAGCTATTGAGAGAAGCTGTGAGTGTGTTCCCAGGGAACACACTCATTGGTCATTCTAATGGTCATCCCCGAAAACTACAGACAAGTAGCATCATACAAACTCAGCGGGTTGTATCTGGGAATATGTATGTGCACGTACAAATATTCATATATGCAGTAACAACTGATGAAAAAAGATGTCGTGAATTTGAAGGAGAGTGGAGGGAGATTCAGAGGGAGGAAAGGTAAGGGAGAAAGGTTGTCATTAACATAAATTATCAAAAATAAAGAAGGGAAAAAAAAACCCTCAAAAACTAACCAAAAGTAGTGATTTTAAAAGCTATGCCATTGTTTGTAAAATACTCCACTGATGTTTGACTATTTTACTTAGAATTGACTTGCATTTTATTTTAGGAAAAATATTCAATAGTCTTAACATTATTAAGTAGCCACAGGCCACGTGGTGAATTATTGGTTGAGGTAGGTTCAGAGTCCTCATGGTCTCTCTGATGCTGTTCCTTCCAAACTTGGAAAAGAGGATTTTTAAATCTCAGCTTTTTACTGTTTTCTCTATTTTTCAAAATAAGTTTTCTTCCACTTGCTAACTCTTTTTAGTCATTGAACTTTAGCAGATCTTCCCAAGTATTCATACTGAGGTCTATGGAAACTGCCTGATCCACACTCATACTGAATTGTTTTTTATAATGTTTTATTACATCAAGTGATCACATGATCAGATTTAACTCTCACACTGGCTTCCTGCTAAGCACCTCTTGGGGATGGAAGTATCTTTGTAGATGACCAGCATTGATGACTCAGGGTCCCATGACACCAATCAATATGCTATGCAGAGTTGAGGGCCAGTACCAGCTCAGCTACCTGGTTATAGCTCTACAGAGCTGTTGAAGGTCTTTAAGACCAAAAGGACATCAAGTGAAAAAGTCCCCGAGGCAGATAAAAGCTCAATGGTACAGGAAGGCCAGTGAGATTAAAGCCCAATAAATGAGCAGGGTATGGAGTTGGGGAGAGGAAGTAGAAGAACATGGGCATAGCTGACAGTTTGAGTCCATGAATGTTAAGAAGTAGGGATTTCATGCTGAAGACAATGGGAAATCCATGACATGTGAGAACGGGGCATCTGTTCATGTTGTGACTAACCATCTTCCTCCCCTGTAAATCTTTAAATCTCACCAAGGAGAAATGACAGAAGGTGCTGAGGGACTAAAATAAAAAAAAAATTGTCACAATTGAAACAGGTTGTTTGTATGTGTGCACATGTAAATAGATGCTTGAACACTCGAGGGTGTGCCTGTTCCTGTGTGCATGTTAAAATGAGTTGTAAGGTGTTAAAAAAATCCCAAGGAGAACATTCCTTGAAGTATCTCCTCCCTGTCAGAGAAAAGGTAAATGGGATGCAGCAGTTGGCCAAAATAAAGATGTTACATATCTGGGAGCAGGTTGGCCTGCTGAGTACACTTGTTTCTGCTTCAACCCCTGTCTTGGTGAACAGCCCAGCTGAAACCCTTGCCGAGGGCTAAAGTTCTCACAGGAGCTGGTGCATGTGGAGGACAAGACCAGAGAGGAAGTGTCACCTCTGCATTTTGAAGAGAAAAAGAGAAGGCAAGGAATTAGTTTCTAGTTCTCTTTGCCTGATCTTACTATAGAAAGAGGTCCAGCCAGGAATGTCCCCCACCTCAGGTTCCGTGGAAAGACCCTCTTTCCTTTGCCAACACTTGGTAGCTATGATAAGTGTCAACTCCATCCCCATGCCACTTTGTAGTGACCCATTTTTCAGTTGCCCAGCAACTGAGGAAGTATTGGATATAGAATCCCATGAGCAGGGCCAGAGAACCTTTGGCCCAGTTTTCCTCCCCATTATTCTCCTGTCATCTCCGTCCCAATTGCATTAATCCCCGGGGACTGTGGTAACTGATAGCTCTGGCCCCCAGTTGATACACCCCTCACTTTGACAGTTACATAGGAACTTCAGGTTTGACCCACCAGCTGGAAAACCCAGTGTGAAGGAAGACAGAAAGAGCACAGAAGCCCTGGAGACAGCGGCTGCATTGTGTTCCATCTCTCAGGAGGAACTCTGTCTGCCTTGAGGTTCAGGGTGGCAGCCTGAGGGATGGACACTGGCTGCTCCTGCTCAAGGGCTGAGAGCAGGAATATCCCATGGCTGCCACTGATGTCAGGGCTGTGGTAGAGAATGATTTAAAGAGATGGAGAGAGGCCATTTGGCTGCCCCCAAATCTGATCTACTTTTCTTTCCCATAAATACAGTGATCACATAAATCTTCATACTCTCCCATCCCACCCATGCTGGGTTACTCCACTTTTTCCCCCTTCCTCATGAAAATAAATGAGTCACGCTCGGTCATTTTATGTCCACGTTTTATTCCATATAGCTCAGGGCTGTGGCAGGGAGGTGGGTCATCTGGGAAAGTTGTTTTTCCCCATGACACCTTGCTGGCAATGCTCTGTTCAGGTAGCTGATTGCCATTGCAGATCTTCCTTTATTCATAGGTGTCTCCCAGAGATGAAGTGATCATCACATCAAATTATATGTGTTGGGAGTAGGGGCTGTAGCTCAGTTGGCAGAAATCCTACCTAACATGCACAAAGACTTTGGGTTCGATCCTCAGCAATGCATAAAATCAAACATGGTGGAGCATGTTGTAGATCTTAGGACCTCGGAGGTGGAAACAGGAATTCAGGGTCATTCTCAACTACCTAGCATGACACTCTTGTCAAAAAAGAGAGGAAGACTTAGGTCTGGTAAAAATCACCACTGGGTGAGAAAGTGAATCTCATTTTATTACTGTCTTTGGCCTTTTCTGCCTGGCAATCTTTACTGGACTGTTAGCCCACACTCTCTCTTTCCCAACCCAGTTTGTTACCCTTGTACATCTTTTCACTCCTCTGCCTGCTGGTCCCCAGAGGACTTGTCTATTAACAAGTTCCTCCAATAAATTAATTCAAGAAGATGGGCTGGATGAAAGTATTCTTCTGGATCCAACCCAGTGCTTTTTGCATAATTTTTGGTAAACAGCATAACTGTGTGGACCACAATGTTCCCATCTGTAAAATGGAAAGGTGTGCTAAGAAACTTTCAGTAGTTCAGTATTTTTGTTACTAGACCATTTAATTGAAAACTTTGTGTTTTTTTTTTGTTTTTTTTTTTTTTTTTTTCTGGCGAAATCTTTTAAATTCCCCAAAGAATGGAAAGTGATGCTGGTTGTAGTTGGGGTGGGGCTTCCGGAGTTTATTGCTATTGGAGTTTGGGGTATTGTGAGTCTCAGCAAAGGATTGCTTGGATCCACTATACTTCCTATCATTTAGGATGTGTGAATGTGGGCTGGTTCTCAAACAGGCTCGGCCTCAGTTTCTCCAGCTACGGAAATGTGCAATGGGGAACCGAAGGGGTGGGTGGCCTTTTTCTGACAAGCTCCCATCACACTGAGAACCTGGTGGGGGGCGGGGGCTCACTTGGCACATCCTTTGCAGATTCATGTTACTTCGGTTTGGGGAATCCAAAACAACTGGCAGATTTCAACCCATGGAACTGCAGCAGATGTAGGACAATCTCTGGTTCGGGACGACCTGCAGCATTTACCTGGCAGGTCATTTTGTCCAAATCACCATAAAAGGCCACATATCCAGCAGAAAGAGTGCAAGCCAGTTTCTAGTTACTTTAGAGTTGCAGTGACCTGAAATCAGCAGGCTGGCTTTATCCTTACTTCCTGATTACTTAGTGATCATGACTTTGTGCATTTGCCTTAGGACCTTAAGGCAATTGTGGGGGTTGGGAGCTTTGGGAATTCTGTGGGCACACCTGCATAGGCTTCTTCTCTGAACAGACCATCTTTCCTCTTGGACTGAAGCCAGGGCAAGAACTCAAGGCATGAACTTGAAGCAGAGACCATGGAGGATGCTGTTCACCAGCTTGCTCCCAAGCTCACATTCAGTTATATATTTTTTTTTTTTCACAGCACAAGACCAGGTGCCCAGGGGTGACACCACCCTTAGTGTGCTGGGCCTTTCTACATAAATTAATAATTAAGAAAATATCCCACAGACATACTCACAGGCCAATCAGATGGAGGTAACTACTCAATTGACAGGAAGCAGGGGGGATGTTGACTACCAAGATTAGCTCTCACAGTAGGTAATGCCCTATTCACTGTCTCTTACACACATTAAATACGTTAACTTTTGGTGTCATACTGCCCTTCTGATGCCGAAAACCAAACTCCAACTGGGTACTTCTGTTGTATTCATCTTCCTGGAGTAAGAAATGGTTGGGTCTGCACTTCTTTCTGGATCACACTTGGGCCTGCAATCCTTGTAGGTCAAAGTCATAGAGCATCTTGGTAGAGTGTCCCTCCAACTGGCTCACCCTGCACTGGGACTTGGTAGCTCTTTACTTGGCCCCATCTGTATCTAAGGCTTTCACATGATAATTGCAACCCCGCTCTGCCCATAGCACTTTGGCTGAACCCTTGGTTGGAGATCACAGTACCTTGACAAGACAAGTGCTCACTTCCCTCTGTCAGTACCTCCCCTTCCACCATTAAGACACAAGGACTTCAAAGGATGAGGGGACATCGTGACATTGATTATATTCAGTGTGGGCCCAAGAGGCTCTTATAAAAGTTTTCACCAGCTGGAGAAGACAGCTCTCTACCCTCTGCATGGGTAGTGATTTACAAAGATAAAGCAATTAGGACGTATCAGAGGGTCTACTGTATCAGAGGGACTTGTTCTGTAAAGGAAGCCTTAGGAACAGGAACACTCATAGCTTGTTTCCTGCCATTCATACCACAGGAAGCTTAGGGATTGTAGATGAGCACAGACTGAAGTCACTGGCCAGAGCCTGGGGTATGGGTCTCTCCTTTGACAGAAATCAAAATGATGAACGAAGAAGGGGTTCAGCAGAATGCTTGGCCTTAATTTTTAAAACATATTATATTTATTGTGTGTCCAGACAGATGTGGTAACAGTTTTCACCAGCTGGAGAAAATAACTCTCTGTGCCCTGATTGCTAAAAACTGATGTTGTGCTTTCAGGCCCTGAAGGATCCCACCTTGGCTGCCAGGAAGGATTTCCAGAGGGAGGCTGAGCTGCTCACTAACCTGCAGCACGAACATATTGTCAAGTTCTATGGGGTGTGTGGGGATGGGGACCCACTCATCATGGTCTTTGAATACATGAAACATGGAGACCTTAACAAGTTCCTCAGGTAAGGAAGAATAGACAATCTTCTTGTCCCACTCTCTCAGTCCCACTGAGCCATTGGGGTTTGCTCTGTGGTGGTCAGAGTCATACTTGCCACTGTGAAAGCAACTCTGAGGAAGACAAATCAAAAGCACCTGCCCTTTCCTTCCTTCTTCCATCTTTTCTCTCTCTATCCCAAACCTCCCCTTCTCTGACCCCCCTATCTTTGATTCTTTCTGGCCTCACATTCACTATATAGCTGAGAATGACCTTGAACTTCAGAAAGTCAGACTTGGCAGAATCTTCAGATCTCTCCTTATGAGCTGGATTTTCAAACAACTGCCCTTGAGACACTGAGAAAAGCCACAAGAGTCTCTAAGTCTCTGGGACTTGATTTCATAGTGAAATTGAATCCTGGAGAACTTAGTCCTTAACATAAAAGGGGGTCTATCTTAATCATAACTGGATCAAATTATAACTGCTTCGTGGAGTGGATGCTCCAAACATTACATAGCAATGTGCATATAATGCCTGGACACAATTTGCATGTAGCTAGGTACTGAACCAATGGTAGCTATTGTAAAATTCTCTACTATTATTGTTACTTTATAAGAGCTATGAATCATGGTAGCTTCCAGTCTAGATGATACCTGGTCTCAGTGTGCAGAATCTCCTTCACCTTGTGCTTCTCTGGTCTGCCCTTTTTTACACCACAACACATTTTTAGTAGATACAGTCCCAAGTTCAACAGAAAGGCTCAACAAAGCTCCTCTCTCTTACCCTCCCTCCCTTCCCTCTCCTCTCTCTCTCTTAGGGGAACTTTATTTATTTTATTTTAAAAATTATTTAATTTATTTTGCATTTACTTTACATCCTGGTTGTAGCCCCATCCCTTCTCTCCTCCCATTCCCACCCTCTCTCCCTTTTTCCTCCTACCCCTCACCTCTTCCTCAAAAAAGGGAAGCTCCCTTTCCCATCCACAACAGCTCACCAAGTTGCACTAGAACTGAGCATTTCCTCTTTTCCTGTGGCCTGTTAAGGCAGTTCCACCAGGGGCAAGTGATCAAAAAGCTGGCAAGTGAGTCTGTGTCCGATACAGCCCCCACTTTCCTTACTAGAGAACCCACATGAAGCCTAAGCTGTACATCTGCTACATCTTTGTAGGGGGCCTAGGACCAGTTTATGCATGGTCCTTGGTTGACGCTTTAGTCTCAGCAAGCCCCTCTGGGCCCTGGTTAGTTGTCCCTGGTGGTCTTCAGTGGAGCTCTTGTCACCTCCAGGTCTTTTTCTCTTTCCTCTCAGTCTTCCACAAGACTCCCCAAGCATCCTGCATCTCTCTTAGTATCAAGGAAAGATGGGGAAAACAAAGCAGAAGAGAGAAAAGGCAGGGGTAGGGGTGAGAGAAGCAAGAGCAAAGATTAGGGGAAGGGAAACAAAAAGTTTTAGAAAAAGAAAACACAGACCAAAAGGAACAGTAGCATCTCTTACCATTTGTGACCAACTACTTGACAAGAGGCCACTTAGGAGCAGGAGGATTTATTTTGACTTATTATTTGAAGGGATGCAGTTCACCACAGCAGAAGCCATGGTGCTGGCATGTGAGGTCATATTGTACCTGCAGTCAGGGGTAGATTATATAGTCGGGAGTTCGGGGAAGAAAGAGTTTGGGTTATAAAATGTACAGTACCTCCTTGTGGACCAGTGACCTACTTCTTCTAGCAATCGTTCATGTCCTAGGGGTTCCTAATCTCCTAAAAAAGATTCCATCAATAGAACCCAAATGCTGAGGCACACGAGTCTCTGGAAGCATTTTACCTTTGAGCCATAACAAATACACATGGCAAGAAGCTGTGTGTGCACGGAGTTACTCAGCCCTTGATTCTCCACAGCAGGGATGTAGGAAGAACTTAGATACTTCTGTGTCTGTCTTTGAAGTCACTTCCTACAGACATCCTGGGGAGTCTAGCCAAATTAAGGTCAACAGTCTCTCTAGGCATTTTGTGGCAACTTGCAGCCCAGATCCCCAGGGGACACCCACATTCTCACCTGTCTTCCTAGGCTCTGCTAATCTGTTAAACTTTCCCAAAGCTCCGTGCTGAAAGCCTGGGTCTCACAAACCTTCCCTAGTTGCTGGCTTACAGGCTGATCTCTCAAATGCCCCCTTGACCACCAGGGTCGGTTCTGCCTGTCAGCATGTCTCCTGGTTGGTGGTGTTTGAGACCGGCAGGAGTGTGTTCGGTATACTGGAGTGGGAACTGGCCTCCTGACTCATCCCTGGATAGCTGGTACAGCTGCTTTCCTAAGGAGGGAGGGGGAAACCCACCAAAGATAATAAACAGAGTGTGTTCCTATTTAATGGTGCTTTTCAGTGGAAATTGGAGAAGCAGTAAAGCAGGCTGGGGCCTCGCCGTACACCAGGGCTCGTTGGTCCTCCACTTCATAAATAAGGGCCCTGGGTGTGGTCATGGCTCATTGGGCCTCCTGCAGGAAAGAGTGAACACTAAAAAGTGACCGATCTGACAGGGCGGAGTGTTGTCATAACACAGCCAGTCTTGAATTTAGCATGGAGGGAATGTTGAGCTCCCAAGACCTCTGCTTCAAAGGGTTTCTTTACCCTGCTTTGCTTTTGCTGTTGTGGAATGGAGCTAGCCTAAGCCACTTACAGCTTGGGGCTGCAGACCGCTTGTCAACTTGGGAGCTTGTCAGGAATGCAATGAATAAACACTGCCTAGCCAATCAGAGCTCCAAGGGGCGGGGCCTCGGGATCTATTTAAAACCCTTCTTGATGCCCCCTTTGGCAGCTCTCCTTTATAATCATAGATAATAATTTGCAGTATGTTTCCTGACTACCATATAGCTATTCTGAGAGATCTAGGACTTTGGTTGAGCTTTCTGATCATTTTATGCTTCACTTTAAAAGAAAAAAAAATCAGGATAAGAAGATTAAATGAATGTATTTAAAGCTATCAGTGCTTGGCATATAGGAAGGGTTGGTGGTTATTTTATTAATTATTTTATTATAAGCATCTAGCACCTGGGGCGACCCTAGGAGGCAGATAGTGAAAGAGAAGGTTTGCTCCTTGTTCCATTTGATTATGTGCATGTGTCATCTTAGCGGGGATCTTGCTGTTTCACCTACTGCCATACGCATTTGGTATAATTTGCGTGGACAGAAATAGGCACAGGCAGGCTGAAAAGGGGATTTTCTCCTTTTCTGCAGGATGTTCCAGAGCGCTGGAAACCACAAAATCTATGCCTTTGATCTGCTGAGTTCTCTCTGCTCCTTCTTTTCTTCCCCACCCTTTGCAGGGCCCATGGGCCAGATGCAATGATCCTCGTGGATGGGCAGCCACGCCAGGCCAAGGGCGAGCTGGGACTCTCTCAGATGCTCCACATTGCCAGTCAGATAGCCTCGGGCATGGTGTACCTGGCCTCCCAACACTTTGTGCACCGGGATCTGGCCACTAGGAACTGCCTGGTCGGAGCCAACTTACTGGTGAAGATTGGAGATTTTGGCATGTCCAGGGATGTCTACAGCACTGATTACTACAGGGTAAGGAGGCTTTCCCAGCTGCAGGACTCAGTTGCTGAGCTAGTGCCTTGCTTACATGTCTGTCATTGTCCATTAACCCTGTCACTATGGTGCACATGGATGCACTCGCATGCTCACATATGCACTCAACAGTTATCTTTCAACCACTCTCGTATCTTGGCATACCGGCTTATTATTATCATGGTAGGCCATTCCTCCTTTCTCTTTGACATTGGGCTGTACTGTCCATTTGACACAAGAACGTGCATCATGCGTTCTTACTGCCTCACTGTTCATTCTTTATGCAAACAGAGTTGAGTTTGAGTACACATACCTCTATGTTTAAGCGCACACCCAGACCATCTAACTTGGTGCTATGTCAGTATTCCAACCCATCCCCTGATCTAGTCTCAGTCACAACATGTTTTATTCTCTGGAATTTCCTCATCATCATGTGAGAGTAATCTTGTTTCCAAAGGTAGATCTTTATGAAAAAGTGGAACCCAAAGAAAACCAGAAGTGGTTAGTACATTGTTAAACATACCCCTACTAGCTTTGGGAAGGTGAGAAAATGAGGGATCTTGTCAATTTCTAGCTTTGGATAGGGGACGGATGGCCTTAGAGAATGGCTGATTGTGAGGAAGCTTCATTCGCATACAGTTTTCTACCTCCTACTACAAGATCTTTGCTTCCAGAATGATGATTTAGTTTGATTTTGGGGAAATCAAACTCCTCGTGGAACACTGAGTTTTTTTCATGTAATTATGGCCAGGCGAAAGGTGAATGTCACTTTTCCCAGAAAGAGAAATATGGGTACAACTTGATATCCACAGATGGGTCATGTCCTTGGGACATATCTCCTTCTGCAATAAGGAAGATTTATGTTGCCCATACTGGTGCTCACCTGCAATCTCAAGAGTTGGGAGGTCTCTCTAAAAAAAATAAAAAATAAATAAAGAAGGAAGGAAAAATGTTAAAATATGGAAGACTTACTTTGGGCACCTTGACTAAGGAAGGAGTTTAGATTTGTGGCACAGAAAAAGAAGACAGAAGGACAATATTGTGGAGCAGAGAGTATCTTCACCTGTGACACTTGAAAAAAATGCCATAAACTATGAAGGGTATGCTCATACAATATTTCTCAAATTTCCAGGGGCTCAGGCAGCTTTCATCTCTGGTAAAGGCTGTCTGCATGGTTCATAAATTGTCTTTTTATTGTGTCCTCCTTTGAAAGAAGAAGCACAGGATCTCCAAAGGTTCTTTTAAGAGGTCACTGATTCTGATGAAGGCTAGTGATCTAATGGCCTCTAAAAATTTTCTGTTTCCAGTCCTGCTCCTAACACCATTGCTTGCTGTTCTCCTGCTCTGAAACAATGGTTGTTTTAGCTTGGGGACTAAAGAAACACAAACATTAAGTTCATACCAGGAGAGTGGGAGCTAATTTCTAGTCATGGTAGGAAACAAATGATCATGTCCTGAACTTTGACAGTCGTATTGGCCTGAGCTTGGTAGTCCCAGGAGGCTGGTATTTGGGATGGCAAGTACATACTTGCTTGATTTATTTGGATGCTCCTGGTGACTTTGTGATGCATGATTGATCACTCAGATATAATGATGACTCAAGGAACTCCACTTTAGTAACAGTGCAGAGGAAGGTAGAATGATATGGAAATACCTTTTATGGCTACAGAATGTTTTGTTCCTGGTTCAAGCAAAGGATGGCAAGTAACTATCATGTTGTAGGTGGTGTTTAATATTTATTGTTGGTTTAATCTTTTAGTAAATGCTGCTGTTAGTCCTAAACAGCTGTATAACCAAATCACCACACAGAGACTATGATTTATTTAATTAATCTAGAACACAATGCTGGGCAATAGTTACTCCCTCCTAAGCCTCCAAGCCCTCATAGTTTCCTAACATTTAGATTTCCCACATTATACTTGCTTTTAGTGATATATTAGGTCCAGTCCACCTCTCCACATCATTCCAAGATCTCCCTCTCAGTTCTCTGTTCTCCCAGCTCTCCTCTTGCCCTTCTCTCCTCCCACTCATTTCCTGTCCTCTGGCTCCTCCCCTCTCCTTGCTCAACATTGTGGCTAGTTGCTTTATTTGGCCTGTTTGCACAAAGTTGAGACAGGATGCTTAGAATAAGTATCACAATGCAATATCCGGATTGAAACCAGAGAGTGAGTGTGTGGGGGGGAATCAGCATTTGAATGAACAAGGGTTAGGTACATACATTTCAAAAGAACATTATACCAACACTATCACAAGCACACATGAAGCAAAATAAACTAAGGCTGGAGGAAGCAGAGTGTCCCCAGCAAAGTAACCAGCTTTAGCCACCCAGCCTACCAAGAATCCCCAAATATAGGAAAAGGAGCATGATGTTGCAAACCCACAGCTCAATGGTAAGAGAAGACCTATCAGGATAATGTGGTGATGATGAAAGTAAGGGAGGCTTACTCTTTTCTGTTTGCTTGAATTTATTTTTTTGTTCAGGGAAGATAATTTAATTATACTTTGTGGTCTCTATGGAATCTACCAGGTTCTAGGAAACCATATCACACCAGAACATACCAGCTGAGCTTTGAAACTGGCTTCTTGGCTTCTTGGGTTGTACTTAATATTTCTTCTTTGGTTTAAAGGTTAAAAAAACAAAACAAAACAAAACAAAAAACCATAAAAGAGAACACAATCCAAATGATACACATTGACTCTTGTTTTAGCAGCCATTAACTTTATTCTTACTCCTAAGAAAGCATAAAGGAGTGAGTTCATCTCATTTCTTTGGGTATCAGGACAAATTTGAGGAAGTGAGGTCAATGGGAATTGTCCACAGTCTAGGTGTCTTAAATTCCATCCTCATGAGCTGTAAGTCAGGGTGTTAGCTGAGGCTAGATGGATTGAAATTGCATTAAAATTGAAATTGGTTAAAAGCTCTGGTTGTTCTTCCAAAGGACCTGTGCTTAATTACCAACACCTACATGGCAGCTCACAACTAGACAGTTCCAAGGGCTCTGACACCCCCACACAATGCCAATGTACATAAAATTTTAAAAATAGATGGATCATTTAAAAAATAAAATGTATATCTTTGGTTCCAAAGAAGTATGAGGTAAGGACGGATAGCTGTTTCAGTGAGTGTTCAGCAGTGCTGGCAGGTAAATCTTCAAGAGGCCACCATCAAAGAACAGATCGGATAATCTCTCTATACGTGTTTACTCACAATGCCTTGATGTATGCTTACACCTCCCACTCCGAATCTTGAAAAGTGAAAGACAGGAGTACATGTGCCTGAGGCCACAAAAATGTCCCTACAATCTTATCCTCTTAGGAAGACACCGTTGCTACTAAAGAATTCTAGGATTTGGGCTAATGTCAGCTATGTTCACTCCCTAATGTTTAACTGTCATCTGCAATATGTGTTCAATGCCTCTGTTCAATTTTCTTATTTTGGAAATTAGGACAAAAATATTTACTCAGCAGAGGTATGTTTATGTTAAGCAGCTTAGTTTGTGTGACGAGCCTGTAATGCAATACTTAACTAGACAAACTATTGCTTTTACTGTCTCCTCAGCACTCCTCACACCCAAAGCAAGAACGCTCTGGAAATATTCTCATTTCCAGATGTGATTCTTGGATCAGAAAGAGGAACTCCTGACCACTGGAAAATAAACTGGGCTCATATAGCTGCCCCAAAGGAGTAGGGTTAAGATGATCACCTCAAGGAAAATTCCTTCCCAAGGTTTCAACTTCCATAGGCGTATGGGTCATCAGCATTGCCCTTCTTCTGACCAGGGTTTGTGTGCTGTTGCTTCCAAATCATAGAGCTATGCCTATGCCTGAGAGATTTATGTAAGACTTTCTTGTTCAGTATACATTGGCTAAGACTCCAAGGAATGTGGTAATTTATCAGATAGACAGAATACCATGAAGGATGCTCTCTGTAACCTGGGTCAAATTTGTGCTGTTCTACTATTCTTGATTACTGGGACTAAGAACTTGCTGACTAACATAGATAAACACAGATAATTTAGGTGTGTGTGTGTGTGTGTGTGTGATGTGTGTGTGTGTGTGTGTGTGTGTGTGTACACATTCACAGGCTATCTATGGGAATGTATGTGTTTGTCAGCCTTGCTTGTTCTGTGAAGATTCTAGAGGGTACACAGGAGGTCAGGAGGAAAGGTAAAGATAAAGTTCTCTTTATAATTTTCTCTTTTCATTTTTAATTTCTTAAAACAAAGAGGTGCCATCTGGCTCTTACATGAGTGGTATGCAAATGATTTACAAAGGTGAACTGTCAGATTTCCTGTTACACACTTAGATTGGAAAAACAAACATGCCCACATCAAAGCAGTGGAGCGATTTCTTCTCTTCTTACAATAGGCTGGATGGCGGCCACCCTTTCCTCCTGTGGCTCATTGATGCTTCCTAGAGGGCCTGTAAATGGGCTTTGACAAAGGCAAGTTTGCAGAGACCACTTAGATCTTCAGAGAACTCAAAGAGCTTGGTGGTCAGATCTAGAGTTAAATAACATTTCAGACATCCCCAAAAGGAGCACATTGAGGCTGCAAAGAAGGCATCTTTTTAAGGTGTGTTTAAAGGCAATCTGGAAAGCACAGGAGTGGAGGGCATAGATGCTGTGATCCAGAGAGCCCAAACTGAATTCACTCTGCTGTCCCCTGTGCCTAGTCCCATGTCTGGCACTTGGCAGAGTTAACAAAACTATCAGAGTAGGAAAATCGTATGTGTGTGTTTCAGGTTAAGCAGGAAATGGATCATAGGAGACTAGGAGCCCAGAAGCAACCAGACACCCATCACTGCGAAGCAATCCTTTGGCCAATCATGGTCAAGCCTTTTCTAAACAAGTAGGTACATCGTCTGGGAAGAAGGTCCTGCAGAAGCAGGCAAGTAGTGATCTGGATTGCTGAGTCTTGGATGTGTACTTTAGGTTGGAAGAGGGGTTCTAACCAGAGTTGGATTGACAGCTGGTAATATGGCACTGGGTTCCAAGGTGA